CCTCACCCCTCTGCGCGGCCGCCAGCACATAGCTCTTCTCTGTGGTGTTGAGGTAGAAGGCAGCGGTGGCTTTGGGGCAGCTCTCAGTGCCCGCTGGACCCACGGAGACGCAGTCCGAGAGGCGTATCACCCGGCGAGCGCACCGCCGCAGCGACGTCTTCTCTGGCGCCGTGCCATCATCCCGCACGTCAAAATTCTCCATGCGAGCCACGCCGGAGGGGCTGGCAGCAAAGAGCTGGGCTCGCATCTTCCTCCAGGACCTCTGGGGTGCAGGAACAGCACAGGCAGGGAAAAAACGTGTCAGCAAAGCGCTGCCTGCTGCGTCCTCACAGAGCTGCCCTCCACACAAGGCCATCAATGGTCGGGAAGAGCTGTGCAGGGCAGGAGGGGGCACATGGAGGCCCCTGCCCACATCTGCCGGGCACTGCAGGAGGGCACGGAGAGCTGGGGCCAGTGCAGAGGCCCAGGGCTGCAGGGCAGAGCAGTCCCAAAGCTGGGTCAAGGGGGGGCCTTGCCCCGAGCAAGTTCAGCGTGGCTCGCTGGGTGAGTCACGCTCCCTCCCGGCTCGCCGAGCACCAGGTCCTGCTCTTTGTTCCCCACTGCAAGTGCCGGCCTGCCGCTGCTGCAGCTGAGCTCTCGAGCTGTTCTCAGGACAGACTCTGATGCAAATTAAAACCATTTTGAGCTGCTGAAGTTCCCGCCAGCAGCCTCACATCTGCTGAGTACAGCCAGGCCCTGCAGCTCACAGCCCGCTTCCTCCCAGGGGAGGCTCTGCAGCATCAGCACCTTCCCAGCCTGTCATGGGATAGAGGGGGCACATGCCCCCACACACCTCAAAAGCACAGCAGAGCCTCCGCCCTGCAGAAACCAAAAGCAGCCGAGCACCCAAAATACCCACCAACACCAGCCTGCCTGCCTCCCACACCCAGGGCGCTGGCCCCACACACGCAGAAGGGGCTTTGGCTCCAGGACTCAGCTCTCACTCAATAAGGACGTTGACGCATGATCACAGCCCGACAAATCCACGGAGTCCCCTCGTGGGGATACTGTTGCCCCACTGTGGCACAGCCAATGCCACTAAGGCAAAGCCAGCACGCCAGTGGGACTTGCTTCATCAGCACCCATCTCCCACGGACTCCCACCACATCACCCATGCTGCACCCAAAGAGCTGTGGCACTCGGTGCCCACCCCAATGCCCCAGTACAGGGGTCCAAACTGTCAGGGGTGCCCCACAGATGGCACTGCCCCCCTAGAGCAAGACTCATGGAGGGCTGGGCGCAAAGTCACGTCCCACGTGCTGCCCCCGTGCCCTGCTCCCACACACATGCTGGAACTGCGCTTCGTTAACACATATTTATTGTTCCATTGCGAATCGCGCAGTGACCAAGCGAGAAGAGCGACCCATATGCAGGGTGAGCCCAAGCACGTGCCTACATGGATGAGTTCCCTCGGCCACAGGGAGAGTCCCACTCCCAGGGCTGTGGAGCCCAGGGTCTCCCCAGGCAGCAACGAGGGTTCCTGGCTCTGGTCCCCCCCTTCCCAGGCTGCCAAAGGCTTGGCCCCCGGGCTGGAGTCAAGACAGATCAGGGCACACCATGTACCCAGCCCCAAATCCACCCTTTTACCTTTCCAAATTTGCAGTGCTGCACATAGAGGATCCCATCCTTCACTGGTCTTTCCATGGGCCCAGCGCTGCCCTGGCAGCCAGCACAAGGATCGGGGGCACTTGGGCTGCCAGCAGCGG